GAAGTTTCCGTCACTTAAACTTTATCAGGCGAAAATTGCGCATCATTTTTTTTTTCTACAAACTCTGGCTAAAGAAAAATATATTCTTTTTCCAGTTGTTTGCAAAATTTCATTGGGTAGAATACTATTGTCCTCAAAATTCTGAAAGAAACGAGATCGTGAGTTATATTGGTTTAACAGTTTCTTGTCTAAATAAAGTTGGGACATTTTTTTGCCAACATGTTTTTCATCATCAATCAAACTGAATTCACTCCCAGCGGGAATGCTTTCAACCACATATGCATCGTCATTCATCGTATCTGATGGTGTCTATTGGGGTTGGCTTGGCTTTGATTAGCTTACTTTAGCTTTGCATACCTTCAATTACTAAATATCATTTTATTTCTCAGTCTCCATGCATGAGTGGACCATGCCAGAACGGTGGATCTTGCCTGTCAATTTATGAGAAAAACAGCTATTGGTGCATTTGCATGAAAGGATACACAGGAAGTGTTTGCCAAACAGGTAAGACGACAATAACACTTGAACAATGATTTCGTCAATACAATTTCTTACTATACTCTAGCCTTGAAAGGAGAAAAAGAATTCCGAAAATGGCAACATCAACAGCAAAACATCATCAAATAAAGTATGTATGTACGTTTTATACAGGCCTAGAATGTAAGAGCTCTGCAAAGATGGGCTTCTTGTCTGCAATCTTCTCTTGATTAATAACTAAAATTCAAGCCGGTTCTTTCTTCCACGTGTAACTGACCGCGACTGGCCATAAGTCTCCCAGTTAGCCAAGAAATCGTGTGTGGTAAGGATATTTCAATGGGCAGATCCGTTGCGTGTCCCTGACTTGATTACGATAACGGTTGACATCTGCAATCTTTTCTCAATAGAAAACATAACACTCTGAAAGTTTTCAAGTACTTTCAGACGCAACGGGAGTGATTTGTTTTGACTATATTGTTTTCAGTAAGAATGGCTGTCCTGCGTGTGTCCAGCTCAGATTCCAGTTGTTATTTTCGGCGGTCAGTAGACGAATAGTAGACAGTAGAGCTCAGTCGCCTTTACGTTGAAGGAAACCTGAAAATAGTAGTTTACTAAGATAGAAAAACACCAAAGGGAAAATATAAGCCACATTGAAAGTAACAAAGTTGATTAAGGATGGACAACGGGTTACAAACGTCGAACTTGAATAGTTTAGGCTGAACTTTTCAAGATGCGCAAATTGTGACGTAGTTCTAATTTAACTTTTAAATGCTACCGTAGATTGAAAGTGCTATCGTAGCGGTGTAAAAATAGAGTTTCGTTATTTTTGCTCGGGGCTCCGTCAAATATAACATCATCTAATGTACTTTTTTTCCTTTCATACTTCTCTTCTAAAACAGATATCGATGACTGTGTAAGTCATCCTTGTGAGAACAACGGGACCTGTATAGACCGAGTGAACGGATTTAATTGCAGCTGCGCACCAGGATTTAATGGAACGCGATGTGAAAAAGGTAACTGTTGGTCACACGAGAAAATGTCAACAAATCCATTTTTTGTACTTCGTATTTCGTGATCATAAGCAGGCCAAAATACAGAAAATTAATCAACAAATGGAATCAACATAACCAATTAGGATCACTTCGCATTGTAAATTTGGTAATGGCCAGTTATGGATTATGCTAAAAGAAAACATGGAAATGTAAACATGTGTTTGTTTTCTCATGATATTGCTTATTGTTTTCATTGCGAAACACCTAACTGTAGTACATAATAAGACAAGAGTTTGAATTTCGCTTGAATAATACGGGACTACAACGCTAATAATCTGTCATATAAATAAAATTTCACACTGTCAGCCAGGCGATTAGCTTAATGTATATTCGTGGTCATTTCTGAGTGTTTGGAATAACAGTTGACTGCTCTGTTTCTAACTTATTGTTGTTATTGTTTCAAATTTGAAATTCATACCCGATACGTAAAATATTGGAATTTTCTCTCTCCTTTTTTGTTTTGTTTTGTTTTTTTGTTTTTGTTTTTTCGTTTAATTTCATCTTCAAAACCAGATATCGATGACTGCGCAAGTGATCCCTGTAATAACAACGGGACCTGCACAGACCGAGTCAACGAATTCAACTGCAGCTGCGCACCAGGTTTTAACGGAACACAATGTGAAACAAGTAAGTTTAAATACAAATCAATATTATCTTTAATAAGTTTGCTAAAAGTAAACAGCTATATTACTCTGCTAATAAAGAAATTCTGATAAAGATAAGACCATTTTCGGTATAGGTAACATGGAAATTCAAAGGTTTTATAGCAACAGTGTATATTCCGCAAAGAAGTAGGTGCAAAAACAATGAAAAGTATTAGAATTATGCATGGCAGGCGACCTACGCATTGATCTACATGAGAAAAAAAAAACACAACTCTTACAAAAGGCAATATTTCGTGACCTTGGCTCGCCCAATGCTTTTGCGCCGCAAGTTGAAGGAATTAACCTTGCTTAACTCGTGAGTAGTTATTTGCACTCTTGCCGCAAACGTGGCGAAGTCTAATCCCTGAAGCGTCTGTTGTAACAAGTGTAGCAAGTATCTTCATTCGGGAATAGAACAAGAACATTCAAGAGAAACAGTGACGGAATTTTGCATTTGTGAAGTAGACGACCTTAGATTAATATTATTGTAAATTGTGAATGCGCTCGCAATGTGCAAAGTTAATGTTGTTATTTTTGTTCCGGGTTATTGTCATTTGTTTTTGTTTTTCTTTCGTTCAAACTTATCTTCTAAAACAGATATCGATGACTGTGAGAGTCAGCCCTGTAAGAATAACGGGACCTGCACAGACCAAGTGAACGGATTCAACTGCACTTGCACACCAGAGTTTTACGGAAAACGATGTGAAACAGGTAGCCAAAGCAAATAACATCACCAACCTTTTTAACAACATGGTCGCAGTGCTGATAATCAATCGACACCCGATCAAACTGTATACTCGCTGATTGACAGACACAGAAAAGGGGCTTACGACGAGCTAATTCTTCAGAGAATAATTATTTCCTATAATTCTTTCTAAAAAAAATGCCAGCCAGAACACACACGCTCCACACGCTTAGAGGTGTGGTTCCAGGGTCATAGGTACACATCCAATGAGAGCACAAGGGGTGAGCGGGGAATTGGCCGGATGGGTGTAGCTCCAGACCGAGTTTATTCCTTCAGGAGAGACGAGGAGTGAACGAAACGAATTCACCCAGCCAGGAAGAAGAACCCACCAACAAAATTCTGATTCTGGAAAACAGTTATCGCAAGGAGCGGATCCATTGCATGCCCTTCAGTGCATTATAATGAAGATGCACATCTCAGAGACATTTTCACTTTCTACATAACAAACATAAGTACTTTACGTATAAGTACTTTGAAGTACCTTACCGCCCCGGCGGCATCAGTGGTAGTGATCTCCTTTGCATACTACCTATATTTTTATATGAATGGCTGATCTGCCTCCCATTTATTTTGGCTATTTCATGCAGTATACCCCGGGGCGATGTACTACTGGCGGTCAATCGGCAAAAGAGTAAACTTCCATATCGGCATCAACTCAAAATAAAGGACACCGCCACTTTGCTTTCAAATTACTCATAATGTTAAAAGAATACCTTTCCTTAGATTCTCTTGCCTTTCCACGACGTCAGAAAATCACCTTTACTGTCGACGTTTACTACTTTTGGAAATTAGCCATGTACGGATGGAGGATAGTTACGAGCTTCTACAACCGTACACAAGTTCGATAAGTCATTTGTTTTACTCTTTTTATTTTTTAGGTTTGGTGTTCAATTCGACTATAATTGGTGGAAATGTATCTTACCAAAATCACCTTTCTCAGTTCCTGACGCCTGCTGTTGGATTGAACCCTCAGTGGCTGCTGTGTTACCGTGCTTCCATTCACGGCTGGGCTGACAGTACCTTTCACAGCAGGTGTGATGGGAAAAATCACACGGTTACCCTCATCAAAAATGGACAGTACGTGTTTGGAGGATACACCGACATTCCTTGGGGTATGATAAATTTCCCGTTTTGAATCTTTAGCATTGCAATTATGTTCTGAGAAGACCATCAACTACCTTGTAGATTATTAAGATACACTATTTTATCATATGACCCGTATGGCCCCGCGCGCCATTTTCTACGAAAACTATTTAAAAAGGTCCCGTATGAGGGCTGTATGCGTTTAAGTGATAGGGCCAGTAAAATGTGTGAAGCCCTAGTAGGAACGCGTTCGGCAAAATCGATTCGAGTTATTCCATGAGAGGTTGGAAAATTTTGGTTTCTTCAAAATGAGCAATGAAAGTGAGCATTCTGACAGCGAATTTTACTATCCTGGCGAACTGTCCTAAGCAGAGATTATTTCAGTCGCCAACTTACTCCGAAAGCACAGAAAGAAAGTCAACACTTCTAGTCGCAAACTAAATGCAGAAGTTAACCGCTTTAAGCTTATCAGAGCCAACGATTAACAATCAAACGCTTTCAAGAAAACAACTAATCCGGTTGAGCTGTTTAGAACAGGAAAACAGTTTTGAGGCGAAACGTCTTTCAGTGGAAAACATTAAAGAATTTATCGTGGGTCAACAGCAAGAAAACACAGAGTCAGAACCATGAAAAAAACAAAGGAAGACTTAAGATGTGAACGTTTTCGTCAAGTCTCTGGGCGAAGTTGGAGAAACCAGAGAAATTAAAAAAAAAAAACAATAATTGACTTTATGTGTACTTCAGGATAAATTGTTCTGCAGTTTTACTGAAATCAATGTTCTTTGAAGAGACAAAACTGAGTATAAACACGAGTTCATTTAATAGTCGTACAGTTCATCCAGATAAAGGCGTAAAACTCGCTTGTTCAATTCCTGTTAATATAATCTGCGCTACACAACAAAGTCAGCAGACCCGGGGACTGTTTGCAGGAGCCAATATCGATGTAATTACTGTTCAGTCGCTGCTCCTTCCTTGTTCAAGAGAATCCGAGAGGCTGCTTAAGACGACGCCGACATTTTACACTGTCTTCAGATGGAGAAGATTTGCAACAATTTCAATGGAGCATGAAGCAAACTTTTAATAACCATTTGCTAAGTTGTTGATGTTGTCGTTGTTGTTATTGTTGTTGTTGTTGTTGTTGTTGTTGTTGTTTTGTGTGAGATTATACAATATTACTGCATAATCTTAAATAGTCACCGGTCCCTGTTGAAGGTTGGAGGATTTTATGAAACCTGAAAATCTCTTCCCTGATGAGAGTTAATAGTTTTTGAAGATAGTGAAAACTCGAGACGAAATCGGATAGTCGCATTTACAAAGCGGCAGAAACGATGATATTTGACATGTAAATCGCCTTTGCTTCCAGTCAAATCCCTTGTTATCGGCTCAAACAGACGCAGGGACAGGTAAATAACACTGCATTTATGTTGTAAATGATTTTGTTATTGCTGATATAGCGTTCGGGTCCCCTGTGCTTTCGGCGAGTAAGAAGATTTTCTTGAAGGCAAATCGAATGGGAGCTTTAAAACTGCCTACAGGCCAAAATTTAAGTTTTATCTTTTGTTTTTTTAGCGGTGATGCAGTGAATAAAATCCCAACTTGCAGTGTTGCGGTGGTCTCAAACCCTTCGGTGTGCGATGTTTGTGTTTTTAACGCTACGGTGTTCGGTAAGATAAAGTTATTTGCGGTGCTGAAGTTTCTTGTTTGACCTTTCTTGGACCTAAATTTAGCATCCAAACTTGGTTAATCCGTGCTAATTTATGAGAAGCACGCACCATTGTTTTTAACATTATACAGACCAACACTTTCTAGTTAAAATTCAATATGCTTCAGCTGCCAATCCGAAGCTGTTTTCATTAATACATAACTTGACAAGTAACTTTACCACTGCCACGATGTACCTGCAGCTGGACCGAGTTTATTATTGACTTCGTGGCTTTTTTAGCTTATTATGATGTGTTCATTTCGTGGAAAGTTGCTAACGCCGCCTTAGAGTATACAAAGTTAACCAAGGTAAAAGTTCGATTTAACGTACCTGTAATCAACCATGGCTTAGGTCAGTAACCAAGGTTGAGACGATAGATATATCAAGTCCACTTGCGGTCGCATGGTATTTCGCATCCCGTGGAGTCCAGATTGCGTCAATCTCATTTGGTCGCGTTTTTGACAACGTTTGCTTTCATGGCCAAAAAAAAAAAAAAGCCAAATCCGGACCAGCCACGCGGAAAATATATTTGAACGTATGTCTAGATAGTCTGAAGTTCTCTTTCTACCATTTTCAACTTCCGTCCAAAAGGGTTTCAAACCAGAATTGGTTAGCGAAGTCATTAAAAGCGCTTACTCTCTCAGCGTTTTCTAAAAGTTGCGCAGTTTTGAAATTTGAATCACCTGTTAGCAGGTTAAATGAACGGAAACAGAAATTCCATTTAACTAGAGAATGTTGGTCTGTGTAAACCAAACACCTAGAAAGAATGTTCAGCTAGTCAAACGGCTGAGTGAATAACAGTTTATTTATTTTACATGAATGTAAATGATTATGTTTTTTGGGTCCCCTGTGGTCCCAGTTCATTGACAGTAAATAAAAATAACAAAAAGAACTTAGCATTGACGCGGAGCCTGAATTATGAAATTTTTCGAACCAAAGCGAATTTCCCTTTGGGCGAGCGAGATTTTCATGAACGCATATCGAATGGGAGCTTTAAAACTGCCTGGAGGCCCAAATTTAAGATTGTTCTTTGTTTACGTTTTGAATTCATGCCGAGTTAACGTCAAAACATGACATAACAGTCATACTGAACACAAATCTTGCGCAACGAAACACATGTCAGTATTTTACATGGAAATATTTTAATCACGTAGGGGACATGTCACGCACATTTGAATCCTACCTACCAACCCTTATTGCGAACTGAAAGCATTTAAACTTACTTGAGTGATTCAAACGGAAAAACTTGAGTAATGTATTGTCACAAAATCCATTCGAAATGGTTCATCACAATCAAGTCAATAACGAAACAACTGTTCTCGCGGCTTTTCCGCTAGTCACTCGTATGTCACACTCGCAGTCACACTCCTTTAGTTTTCTTCATTGCGTTCTTCCCCACGGATTTCCGAGCAAAAGAGAGACTAATTCGTATAGTGTTATCGTCCGGGTGAGGGTAGTTCTAAAAAGAACTGTTGTTTGACAAAAGAGAGAATGCTCGCAGTCTTTTGACGACATCATGATCAAGAATGTTTAGCTGCTCTCGTGGAGTTTAGGAGCCTCTAGAAGAACGATCTTGTCGATGGGACGTTCCACGGACTGCAGACTTGGTTTTCAGCCCGAATCTCCTCACAAGCCCGTCTCTCTTGTTTGATATTACTTCCAGAATGCGACTAAGGGGCCACAAGTTTTCTATCACGAGTACAATTTCTCCAGTTTCAAAGTAACACCTTTATCTTTGCAGTACGTGATTGCTTTCGCACTTATAGCATTTAAACTCTGAGATACTGGACTCCAACCGAATGGAATAAAACTAAGCATAACCTCAAAAAGTACGCATTGCGGACCTATTTTTGTTTTTTTGTTTTTTTGTTTTTGTTTTTGTTTTTTGACGTATTTCTGACAGCTCTATGCCAAGCTCCTGTTGGCTTTCTAGACATATTTGCTAATCAAACTAAGTACAACTGTAACAGTCTTACGGCTATTGAATGACTTTTCTGCCTGTCTATGACTTCTTCAATTCACGTTTTCACAGCCCTAGTTTATTTTTCCAACATTTCCCGTTAACATGAATTGTAATTGTGTACTTTGAATCTAAAGAAAAACAGAAATGACGAAACGATTCGTGTTTTTCGATGAATTATGAGTTTCTTGCCATATTCCGAAGCAAAGAAATAAATGACAAGCTTTAATTGTGGAATCTTTTTTGTAGTTGTCCTGCGCGCGGCCTTCTGATGTTATGTAGTCGCGTCGAATAAAGGTTGAAACAGACATTTCAAAATTTTCAACACTGAGCGGGTCATATGATAAAATGCTTATTGACTGAGTTGGGCCGACGGGAAATTATTTGAATAGGTTTGAGTAGGCTCCAAGAGTTTTTCTGGTTTATTCTGATTTCAAACCTTTGTTACTCCTCTTGTTATCTGCTAAGCAAACATTCAAGGTACTGACTTAGCATGCAAGGTACTTATTTAGCTGGCTCCACAGAACGTCTTAGCATTTTCAACCTTTGTTAAAAACGTTTCGAGTTGTTAATCTTTCTTTTTCTTTTTTTTTTTCCTGGCATCATTTTTTTTTTTTTTTTTTTTTTT